GTATGTAAAAAACTGGCCAATCCTCGATGGAGCTACTCGTTTATCTCTAAAGAGTAATAATATCTATACAAAGTTGTGCTTAGTCTAAGGTTCCTTATTGCGATTTCTTTATTATTATAGATAATGTTGTATAAATATTTTTCAAAAAGATTATTCTATCTAATGATTGAAGTTCCGACCTGGCGAACTCATGACTGTCTCTTACCATACTTAGGTACCTTATACTAAGGATGTTCTTTTTTGTTTTCCAGGCCTTTAGGAGTAGAAAGTGCAGCGGAGTCAGCAGCTCGACTGCTCTTCATGGCAGTAAAATGGGCGAAGAACCTTCCTTCCTTCGCTAGCCTCGCTTTCAGAGACCAGGTTTGTACTTTAAAATTTAAAGTTAAGTAAGATTTGATCTTGAAGCCTTTCAAAAAGAGCGTATTTCATTTAAAATTCTGGTACAACACTTGTAATTCTTCTGGTGATACAAATGTTCATGGGTGATCGTGGAGGAATCGAACCCGTGACACTTTGCGTGGCAGCCAGTTGCCCAGCCACCGCGCCAACCGTGCAGTCAAAGAATGGAAGCTAGTTATTGCAACAAAACTGTGCATAGCATAATGAACTTTATATCAACTGTATAACACACAAAATACCAGGGTAATCTCTAGAATGCGCGAAGATACCGCGATTATTGTACTGCAATCAACAACCGCATAAATGTCACCTGATAATAAACAGACCGTAGTTTACGTACATATGCGAAACCAGAGGCATCATTATTGCTTTGCTGATCATGTAGAAACCTGTTAAAGATTTTAAATACTGACAGGAAATTTGTTCAAGGCAAATCCTCCGCTAATAATAATTATTGCACCATTATTGTCCGAGAAGTCGTTCATCCATAAAATGATGGTGCAATTAAATTATGAAACAGGTTGGGCGTCCGAAACTTTCATTTACACTTCGACTATTTTCATCAATCATTTCATGCAAGCATTACCAATCATTCAAAGTAGTCTTCAGTTTTTAAAAGCCTGTTCTTTATTTCCAGGTCATTCTCCTAGAAGAAGCATGGTCGGAGTTGTTCCTGCTTAACGCCATACAATGGTGCTTGCCCCTCGACGCTGCGTGTGCCGCTCTCTTTGGAAGCGATCAACTTGATCAAGGTAAATAACATTAAACTCTGAAGTAGCATTTGTGGCCATTAATTAGTAATGGATTCATAAATTATTATGTCTTCGGCTTACTCACGTAATTATTTGACGAGGAACTCGACTAGTTTCAAGCCATGCTAGAGGCTCATATTCATGAGCAGCATTTCGCGACCCGCAACGCGGCGACTGTCGCGCTGCTACTGAGTAAGCCGGAGACATAATAATTTATTTAGTATATAATTTATTTAGTATGTCTCACGAAAGTTATAATACAGATGGATTAAAAATTTAAAGTTAGTTATGTTGCAAGTTCTAGGAATTTTAGAATAATTATTATGTTCCAAATTATGATTTACATACCTCCTTTATTTCCCATAAAACTAAGAGCGGAATAACCCTACAGCAATGAACCAAATAGACTTAGCTCCTCAACTTGTAGCTAACTAAAGGGGACCAACCGGTTCCAATGTTGGCATCGTCATCGCTTAACCACCATGGTCTACTAACAATAACAAAACAGAAGTGAAAGTATGTAGATCCTAGACCGCAGACAGATAGACTTTGAAATATTATTCATTTCTCCCTTTGTCCATCATAGAACTCACCATCTTCATAAGCCCTAACCCCTAAAATACACCTTAAAATTTTGTACACAGAAAGAATACGACGCCTTCATTGCATCACTATAAATGGTTTTGCAGAGAACGGAGTGGACTCGGCGACGTTGCGTCGTCTGAGAGAAGTGCTTGCTAGGTACAGGACAGTTCTCGTCGATCCTGCTGAGTTCGCTTGCATGAAGGCTATCGTTCTTTTCAAGTCTGGTAAGTTACACAAAACTGGATCATCTCCGTCATTCTACCTATTATTTTTATTTAATATGTTTCATGCACAAAATGTACAAAAAGGTGGACTTAATGCCGCAGGCATTTTCTACCAGTCTGACCTTTGGGTGATGCAGAGAAGAGTAAATGGTAGGTGCAAGAGGCAAGCAGTGATTTTATTTAACAATGAAAGATAAACTAACATATTTCGGAGATATACATACATAAATAAATTTAATTATAATGTAACTATATTATCAAAATTCAGAACTATTATTGACAATCGACGTAACAAATATGTAGGAAACCCGAAAGACTCTTCAGGAGTGGAAAGTTCCAATAATGTGTGACGCAATTTCAAAGAAAACTGCTTACACAATATATTAAGATATACACGAAACAATTAAAGGGTTTTAATCTCCCAAGGCGATGAGAGCAGTAGGTACAATTGGTCATTTATTGATGAAGGCATTCATCATTACTTTTTAGTTAAGAGTCCTATATATGCAATATAATATTACACTAGCCTAATACCACAAATCACACTACTAGACTTATTTAACAACATCACTAACACGAAATATTACCTTACAGAAACCAGAGGCCTAAAAGACCCGCTGCAAATAGAAAACCTCCAAGACCAAGCGCAAGTGATGCTAATGACTCACGCTCGCACAGCTCACGGAACAGCTCCAGCAAGGTTTGGCAGACTCCTTCTCTTACTCCCTCTCCTACGTCTAGTCACACCACAGCAGTTAGAAAGAGAATTCTTCGCGAAGACCATTGGACAAACTCCTATGGAAAAGGTCTTGGCTGATATGTACAAAAATTGATATGTAGGCTTGGTTTAAGATGAAATAGTTATGGTAGGGTCATCATCTTCAGCGTCATCATTATTATCGTCAACTGCTTCAGAGCATTCCTCTATATCTTCCTCAATGTCGGCCTCATGGTTCACTTGTAAAATTGATTGTAGCCTTTTCACAAGTAAATTCACTTGTTTCACTATAAAAGAGGAATATGCCATAATCTGCTCGATGGTCAAAAATGGCGGTTTGAAAGAAATACGCTTATCTGAGAGGACTGCTACTCGCTGTCTGTTAAGCATGTTGTCTTTTAGGGCTATATTGCATTGGGACACCATGGCGACGCAACCAGTCACTCCATAGTAGAATTCTGAGCACTCACTCAGAATTCCACTGCACACCATAAGCGTTACAGTGATTATTGGTACCATCCGAGCTGTTCACGCCGCCAGATTGCCAAGTCTAGCACGAATAACTATCGAATAGCTATAGTGAACTCCAGTGAACCAACAAATCCGAGCTCTGAAAATGCCCGATATAGCTCTTTTATTTCACGAGCGCGGGTTACCCATAGTTGTAGTTGTAGTGCGTATAGATACGCGCGCTTGTGTGCGTAACTCACAGCAAGCTCATACATTGGCTCGCCGGCCAAAACTGGGCGTTCCCGAGCGTACGTACAAAGACAATGTGCGTGTACATTTACCCACACAAGTATGGCGCACCTGTACTCGTGAGATAAAACATCTATACTATAAAGTTACGAATGCGATAATTATTGGTGCTTGACACTCAAATGAGTAACGCTCTATAGAGCTGTATAAATGTTGGTTGCGGTGACTGGTTGAGACGCCATGGTGCAATATAGTTCTTAGTTGTATACCCGAGGTGAATAAGGAAATGCTATTCATGAAATATATTTATATCGGTTTTACCAGTTTTTACACGTGTAGGACTGAAACTGAATACGAACATGTCCATACAAGTCTACAGATGGAATGAGGCGTGTTTATTGTCGTATGATTATGATGATGATGAAAAATGTTTTATTTGCGTACGTGTTTTTTGTTTTGTCATAATAAGGGAAAACTAATATTTACGTAAATAACATTGTGACGTCAGATTCGTAAATAAATTGATTGTGTGTAAAAATATACTACTACTAACAATTTTTAAACGACCCAGTAAAACTGCAGTATTTTTAATAAAGTATTTGGTTTTATTTATTTCGAAACCAACTTTTCTGTATACCTAGTCAAATTCTGCAATATTAGCTATCGCATAATATGATTTTTATGTATATTAAGTATGTATGTAAAGTTATTATAGGGCCTATACTTTAACATATATAACATACTTTGCTCTGTAGTTTAAGTGAATTAAAAGGAGTTTTTGTTCCTGTACCATAATTATTATACACAGTGAAATCTATTTCGTTTTCGTTCCGCGGCAAAATAACTTGCCATAAGGAATACTTTCGATGTATAAAGTAAAAACAAAAATAATGACGTCATTTTTATTAATTTAAAAAGTTTTTCATGGAAATACGCACATGAAACACTAGACGTAAATTTGTAGGCACTATTCGTTTCACACGTGCCACCCGACAAGAAATGGGTGATTCTCCAAAAAAAAGACCAAAAAATTAACGGCGTCATTATCCTTAAGCCACAGTTAACAATTCTGCTGATTAAAATACAAAGCTTAGTTTCAAAAAATTGAGCCACGTCACTGCTCTCACCCAATACAATAAAATACAGATGCTAATAAGTTACCGCGATGCTTAACAACGCGGGAGGATAATGATTTGTTAAATAAAAGTTAAAGTTTTTTGAAGAAACACCCAAATACCTCTTCGAAGATTACATGGCGTGATGTTTTTATAAAGTATTATGAGTTTGTATACGCTTTCCAAGTTTGCTTTTTGCATTGGTTCACCAAATATTTTATGTTTTAAACATTTTATCTCTTTGTAAAACTATTGTATTACCAAGATAGAACCATTTTGCTTCGGGACGAAAGCGAAATAGATTTTATGGTGTATTTAGTTAAATATTAGGATGTTGTAATTATAGTGTTAAATTCTTGGTATAATATAAGTGCTTAGCAATGCAATGTAGACCTTATAAGTCATAGTAATAAGTTGTAGAATAAAATGTATGTTCCGAAAATGTGTACTAAAATGTATTTTAATTATAAGGTCTAAGTTTCTGTACATATAGATGTTAGATAGTTTAAAAATCATTATGTTATTCTAAACATTGAGTTTCTCTTCTGAACCTTCTGATAAAAATGCCTAGCTCTCATTTTAAATTAACGATAGTAGACATACAACATCAATGCGTAGGTTAGCCATGCTTTAGAATGGGTCGGCTCGACCGGAGTGATACCACGGCTTTACAGAAAACCGACGTGAAACAACGCTTGCGTTGTGTTTCGTCGTGTGAGTGAGGTTACCGGAGGCCCAAGGGAAAAAGGAGTACAAGATATAAATAATTTTCTCATTCCTAGTAATAACATTAAAACACTAGAATATTAATCTCTACTTATTATAAAACAAAGTCGCTATCCGCCGTCTGTCTGTCCTTATGTATGCTTAGATCTTTAAAACTACGCAACAGATTCTGATGCAGTTCTTTTTTTTGATAGCGTGGTTTTTAAGGAAGGTTTATATGTATAATACATGCAAATTGCACCCGTGCGAAGCCGAGGCGGGTCGCTAGTAAATAGTTATTGATGTACCTAATGTTTCATTGTAAATATATTTGTATAATAACTTTCATGAGAGTATGAGACAAGCTGAATCAACAAAAAATTATGAGTTACTCTCGTAAATATGTATACTGAGAAAACTCTACTAGTTTCAAGTTACAGAGGGGACTCTTCCTCATGAGCAGCGTGCGCGGTCGCGGCGATGTCTCGAATCTAGTCGAAACTAGTAGAGCTTTTCTCAGTATATTTACGTAAGTCGTTATTTTTATATACATAACATAACATCACGCCTTTTATTCCCGAAGGGGTAGGCAGAGGTGCACATTATACCACTGTACAATGTAACACCCACTTTACACTATTTATGTTGTGAGTCCCATGTAATAGGGGGTGAGCCTATTGCCATAATATATCGGGCACAATTCCAGACTCCGTGCTACTACTGAGAATTTTTAAAAAACCCAGTAATACTTTGCCCGACCCGGGACTCGAACCCTCGGCCAACGAGGCAGTCGTAATTTTTAGTTGATTGTAAATTTTTGTAAGTAGCTTCTGCCCGCGACTTCGTACGTGCAATCCCATTTTCATTTCATTTTTGTCCCGTTCCCGTGGGATATTCAGGATTTTTTCCTTCTTCTGACAAAACAATGCTAAATCGGTCAAGCCGTTCCCAAATTATGGCGTGACAACGAGAAACGGGTTTCATTTTTATATCTATACAGTCAAAACCGTTTGTAACGACATCGAAGGGACCGATTAATTATGATCGTTAGGTATAACCAATAGTCGCTATAACCAATATCTTTATGCTTTATAAGACAATAGACTGGACCTCAAAATTTCGTCATTGTACCCGATTCGTCGTTATAAACGATGTCGTTGTAAGCGGTTTTGACTGTATGTATATAGATTAATCTAGTCAGCATATGTTCTATATATTATGCAACTCGACAGGGGAAGTACCATTACTTTATAGAATACCGAGTCATCAGTAACTGATGACGTAGCCAATATATTATCTGGTGACGTAGACATCTGGATACACAACCCGTTGATTTATTGCACCATCATTTTTGGGCTGAATCCATCATGAAAATAATTGCGCAATTAGCAGTTTCCTATATGATCGCACTACTTACCATCAGGCGGGTCATGTTGTTGACAAATTCTATTAAAATTGTATATGGGAAAATTTGTGGGGATGGAATTTTATTTCTTATTGTTTGTTTATCGCAAAAATTACTGCAGCTGTAGTCAAATGCTATTTACCGCTTGTCTATATGTAGAGTAGAAGACCAAATTATATGGGATTGACGTAAATTTTTACACTTGTCAGTGTCATCCCCATACATTTAGTTTTCTACTCTCTCTGTAGACAAGCGCCAAACTGGCGTTTGGCTAAAGGCACTGACTAAGTAGATATAAATAAAGTTTTGCATAGAGATAGATTGTTTTTTGGGGAGATCAATCATTCAATGACTTCTCCCGTCTTGGGTTGGGCGATATACTAGTGTCAGACTCTTACTGACTAACAACCACTCCATTCCTACTCCTGCTCTTCGAGCCGGAGCCTCGGCAACCCACGTTACGTCCAAAGTTACGTCCTCCGCGGTTCCGTATCGACATTAACCCTATTGGGCCCTATCTGTGGTACTCTGAAGGCTCAATGAGTACGCACGGTTTTGGTTCTGGTCGGGTGGCGAGCTACACTTGCTTGCCATCAGATTATTATGATTTGGTACAAATAGGCTATTTTTTATCTCACTAACATCGGCACTGGCAAAACCTATTAAAAGGTATTAAAAATGTTCTGTATTTCTCGATCATATCTACGACAAAACAAAACAACACATTACACAATTATATGAAAACTGGCTTCTGCCAGCGGCTTCGCCCGCGTTACCGTGGGATAAATAGCCTATATGTTATTCCAGACCATAATCTACCCCTGTTGTAAATTTCATCTCGATCCCTCCAGCCATTTTGACGTGAAGCAGTAACGAACACACACATACGTCCTCACATACTTTTGCTTTCATAATGTCAAAGTCAAAGTCAAAGTCAAAGTCAAAATCATTTATTTCAATTAGACCAGGATGGCACTTTTGAACGTCAAACAACAAAAATTTATAAGTGAAGCTAGTTGCTCATTCCAAGGTGTAGATTCCTATGGAGAAGAACGAGCAATAAACTCCATAGGTTACTCTTTTTCAATCAGGTTTACAATACAATTCTCTAGTTACATAGTTTTATTGGTTCGATTATGTGAGAACAATGCAACACCTAAATCCAGTCAGAAAGACTGAAAAAGAAAATAACCTTGAGGATAATAGGTAAAATGATACAGTCTGAAGCTGACCAGTTCCAATCGACGGTGCCCGTTCACGAACATTTGGCGAAACCTAGCACCGCCCAACTCAACCATTGTGTAGGGAATCGAGCGATCCAATGCACGTGCCACCGCCAACGAGATCTTTGAGTGACCATGACAACTCCAAGCTGACATAAATGCAATCTACTAGTCTAATTTGATTTAATTAATTACAGGGCTCTCACATTTACAATAAATTGTGCAACGTTTTAGTATTAGTAGGATTTATTAATATTAGTAGGATTACACAATTATACGAATATTGCAATATAATGGTGACTTGAATCGTTTGAGTAACATATAAAACCCATATAATAGGGTAGATGACTATTTTTTATTTTAATGTTCGTCTGGTAGATTATTTTAAATCATTAGACACGTATTTTTTATTTTCTTCCGAGAAAGAATAGTTTCGACGATATATTGATTTGAAATGTCACGTGACGTCACTTCTATGTACATTTTATACGTCGAAATGACGTTTTAGCTCCCACTCCTAAACTTTGATTCGTTTTTGTTTTCTTATACGACAAAGTAAAAAAATACGTGTCTAATATTTTTTCATTACCTCACTGACGGACTAATAAGATTTTTAATTTTCATACCCTGTCATTATCCCTATTAGGTTTATCCACGTACTTATATATAATGTATGACGTCACAACATTGCAATAATAGTATGCATGTCCTAGGTATAAAAATAATAAATGATGCAATATTAATTTATAAGCTGCAATGACTTGTATATATGTATGTAGCACAAATATAATTATATTGTTATTCTCTATAAACAATGTTTTTCCTTAACATTAATATTGATATCATGTGATTTTAATACTAGCTGTTTGTTGCGGTTTTGTTCGTTTAATTATACTCGGCTGCGTACCACCAGAAGTGCGACCTGATAGTGGAAAAGTCCCAGAAGATTTTATTATACCTAGACGCCTTTTCTAGGGTACTTATTTCTGCCTCTTTGGCCGAATCGTTCGACTGC